GGGGCCCCGACTCAAAGAGCAGGAGTAGGAACGGGGTGGTTTTTAGTCAGTAAGAGCCTGAGTCCCTCTCGCCTAACCCAGGCGCGGGAGAAGTCATTCGATGATTTTCCCCCCTTAAAAAAAACGGGGTGGTTTTTAGTCAGTAAGAGTCGAGAGAAGTCGAGAGAGGCGGGAGAAGTCATTGGATGATTTTACCCCTAAAAAACAAAGAAGTTTGTAAGTCCTCCAAGTATTTATAAAGTCTGTAGTCGGTAGTATTTGTATTCTGGGCCATAACTTTGCAACAACATTGTCAACCATTAATCTAAAAACACAGTCTTACTAAATGAATTTAGCATAGATTACCAAAGTTTCAACCTTGACATGGAAGTATAATCATTAGATGATTTAATTTCTACTATTTTATGTTGCATAATTGATTTATTAGTTATTTATTGGAAATACTGCCTCGTTGGCCGAGCGGTCGCAAGTGCGACTGCCAGGCAAGGGGTCTCGGGTTCGATTCCCGGGTCGGGCAAAGTATTACTGGGTTAAGTATTAAAGAAATCTCAGTAGTAGCACGGAGTCTGGAATTGTGCCTGGTATATGGCAATAGGCTCACCCCCTATTACATGGGAAACATAACATAGATAGTGAAAAGTGGGTCTTACATTATACAGTGGCATAATCTATTCCTTCGGGGATTAAAAGCCGCGATGTTATGTTATGTTCTAACAAAGACAAAATAATATACCTTCATCAGCTGCTCATTGTATCAAATTTACATAGAATTGACCTCAAATTATACCACAGATGTAGTTTTTATTAAAATATGCAAATAAAAAAGCATAATAAATCTAACCTACTCGTATTTTGTAAATTCTTATGTAAGGTAACTAAACGTAATAGTTATAACAACACACCTGTTCCAAATAGGACTTAATAACACTAAAATATAATACTAACACCTCTACTCTTGTCGTGGGTGTCACACACCCCATTTATTTTTTGAGTTGGGAATATCATCGATTTTTTTTCAGTCTTTGGTGAAGCGAGGCATCTGACTCTTTTTTACTAAAACTACTAAGTTCGCACCCCTGCTTCGACTCAAACTCACTCGATTCCCGGGTCGGGAAAAGTGCCTACTACTGTGTTTTTAAAAAAATCACAGTATTAGCACATAGTCTGGAATTGTGCTCGGTATATGGCAATAGGCTCTTATTACACTGGACTCATAACATAAATAGTAAAAAGTAAGTGTTACATAGTACAGTGGCATTAAACTGTCAAACACCAAGCGGTCACTGGTGACCGCGACCTATTGTTCTTTAATTGTGTCTATAAAACCGGTACTCGACGAGTTAAGTGCCGTAATGTGCATCTCTGCCTACCCCTTCGGGTATAAAAGGCGTAATCTTATGTAACTAAGTTAAGTTACTCATTTCTTTAACCAGAATTCTTAACCCTCTTTACAAAATGCTTAACGGCCTGTTTAAATTAAACTATGATTCATTGAGAGCGATGCACTTAGCGTAATGAGTATGTACCTACTAGAATATAAGTAGTAGACATATTTATACATAAAGAATGATACTACAAGTCTGTCCGTATGTTTTATCTCAGCTACGAAACTGCTTGACACGATGCGTCACTGTTTTGTTGTTAATTATAGAAATAGAAATGGGTAAATCCTATTTTACTAATAACTATTATAAATGACTGCACGGTTGGTGCGGTGGCTGGGCAACCGGCTGCCGTGCAACGTGTCGCGGGTTCGATTCCCGCACGGAATAACACTTTGTGTGATGCACAAAATGTTGTTTCGGGTCTGGGTGTCATGTGAATGTGAACTTGTATGTTTGTAAACGCACCCACGACACAGGAGAAAATCCTAGAGTGGGGAAACGTATTTTTTTTAAATCTAAGATAATTGGAGTTTACAAAATATTGGGCATGCTTCCAAAGTCTTAAGAATTTGTAGTGACTAAAATATCTAGACATTTTTTATCTGGATATTGAACTTGACATTGTGTCGTCTGGTGTTCCCGGAGCTACGAACAAGCTAACAGGTTACCTTGGCTCCGGCTCCAAGCAGGAGTTACTAGAAACGGGGTGGTTTTTAGTCAGTAAGAGTCTGACACTCCCTCCCTAAGGCGGGAGAAGTAATTGAATGATTATCCCCGCTCATATAAGTCTGGTGTTAATACATCTAAAGTTACTACGTATCATCGTCGTAATATCAGCTGATCAGCCACAAGATGTACATTGCTGAACATAGGCGTCCCCCTTGACTTCTATAGCGATCAGTCGAAAGCGATTTAGGTAATTATCTTATACTATCTTTATGTATATAATTCTTCTGTGAGTGTGTATGTCACTGAACTTCTCTCAAACGACTGGACCGATTTTGATGAAATTTTTTGTGTGTGTTTAAGGGGATATGGGAATGGTTAAGATTCACAAATCAGCCCGATGGCAGTCTGCAGTCGATGTTTAGGTTATTTATCCTAAACAGCTGAACTAATTTGAATGAATTTTTGTTTATACATTCAAGTGGATATGCGGGACAAAGTCTGTTGGGTCCGCTAGTATACTATAAAATACTAAGTTTGTTTTTTTGTTTGTTTTTTGTTTGTTTGTTTGTTTGAACGCGCCAATCTCCGTAACTACAAGTCTGATTTGAATATTTTTTTTTGTGTTGAATAGCGCATTTATCGAGGATGGCTATAGGTTATAAAACATCACGCTACGACCAATAGGAGCTGAGCAGAGCATGTGAAACCGCGCGAAAGTAGCTAGTTTATTTTTATATGATAACTTTTGATAAGATATTTAGATTTGTTTGGTATATGACTCAAAATGCATTGCAATTACAATTAACACAAATAGATTATATCATTGTGGATAAAATCTGTATTTTTATTACCTACATATCTACTTTCAGCCCAGCCTGATTTCGCAAGGGTGCTACTTATTTGAAATTTTTTCAAATCGTTCTTGCGATAATATCCAAAAATATTATCCAATTCGGAGCAGTCGTTTAGCAGGTATGCGCTTATAAACATGCAAACACGTCGGTGGTATTGTTAAATTATTTATTTAGATAAACATCAATATTGTTGTAAGAATATACAAATAAAAGAAATTAATCATTGTTTTATCTTGAATACTAATGTACGATTTAAAATATAATGGGAAATTCCAGATGTATGGGTGTTCGTCACTCAATCACGCTAAAATTACTAACCACTCTTCGAAAAATCGACTTCTAGATCGATTAAGGACCCGAGCGTACGGCGCGTCGCTTTCTGCGCGCGCCTCAAAGAGCCATCAGACCACCACGGATGGGACGCAATAGGGCTGATGCCGATACGGAGTCGCGGAGAACCTAACGGGTTACCGGGGCTCCCGCTCGAAGTGCAGCAGTAGGAACGGGGTGGTTTTTAGTCAGTAAGAGTCTGACACTCCCTCTCCCGCCTCACCCAGGCGGGATCAGTCATTCGATGATTTTGCCCCCTTAAAAAGAAAAGATCGATTAAGGAGTGGGTGCCCATTTGACAATTACCTCGCAGCAGCACTCTCTGATAAACCTTTTTTTCTTATCTACGACGTTTGGTCAATATCTCGCCTGGTGGTAAGCGATATGGTAGCAATACGCCTGGTTATAACCTGGGTGTCTTCATGGTTCTTATGGTCAGACGTGTTCCATCGTAGGCCGCATCATCGCTTACCACCAGGCCAGATAGTGGTCGTAGTGGTAGAGGGGGTATATTTGATGATTTTTTAATATTTGATTTTGCAATTGGCGTTCCATAGTCTCTGCCTTCTCTCATGAGAGACAGACGTGAGGTTATGTATGTATGTATAAAAACATTAATTTACGGACTAAAAATGCAGATATAGCACGAGCGAAGACGTGCGGTAAAACTAGTAATCCTCACCTATATTTTCAAAATCACTCGATTCAGAAATATGACCGATTAGATAAACACTGGGAACACTATCTTTGTTTACGTTTTTATAATAATATTAATCATGTATTGATTACAGTTAATTGAGGGTATAGAAGATTTCTTTTATATAGTAACACCAGCTTCTGATTTCGGCTTCTCCCGCGTTCTCGTGGGATAAAAAGTAGCCTATATGTTATTCCATACCGTAATCTACCCCTGTTCCAAATTTTATCCCCATCCCTTCAGCCGTTTTGACGTGATTGAATAACAAACATACACACAAACAAACAAGCTTTCTCATGTATAATAACTACTAGTATTAGTATGATTTGTAGTTGGTAACAATATAGTACAGTGAAACTTGGTTAAGTGGGACCTGGATAAGTGAGAAACCTCCATAACTGGAACTCATGCTGAGGTCCCAACACTTTGGCACTGAATAACCTCTGTTAGTGGGACGAGGTAAACCTTTATATCTGGGATTTGTTCTTTCGATTTATCATCATAGTTACCTCTATAACTGAGACAGCGAGTAAATTTTATATGCATAAACCTCTGTAACTGAGATAACATTGTTTGTTTACTCATTCTTATTCTACCCACAAATTCCACACGTAATTCCAAGTCCACCTATATTAATGGAACCCTCTGTAAATGAGACAGATATTTATTTATACCTGTATATCTGAGACACTGGGTAAGTGGAATACCTCTATAAGTGAAACGACATTGTAGGTCCCTTGATGTCTCACTTAACCAGGTTTCACTGTACTATGACAAAAAACAATAAAGTGTGGGAGAGCCATGCTTCGGCACGAATGGGCCGGCTCGACCGGAGTGATACCACGGCCTCACAGAAAACCGACGTGAAACAACGCTTGCGTTGTGTTTCGTCGTGTGAGTGAGGTTACCGGAGGCCTAATTACCCTCCCCTTCCCCAATCTCCCCATTTCCTGAATCCCCAACGATCCTCAAACTCCTAACCCCCAAAAGGCCGGTAACGCACTTGTAACGCCTCTGGTGTTCCATGTGTTCAAGGGCGATGCCGCGCCGATTGCTTACTATCAGGTGATCCGTCTGTTCGTTTACCGGCTTATGACATAAAAAAAATCTTTGCCTTTTGTTACGCGAAAAAGATAGGCAGATGTTACCTTCACATATAGCTACCTACATACTCATATTATGGATCAAAATTCATTTATTCAAATAAAAAACTTAAATTAAAAACTAACTATTACTTAAACTAACTAATACTACTACTTAAAAAAAAAAAAAAATTAAAACTAAATATTACTAAATTAAAACTAAAAAATTAAAACTAAATATTACTAAATTAAATACCTATGTATATACAACTAAAGATTAAAATTAATTATAAAAAAAAACAAAAACAACTATTTACATAAAGCGTCGAAAAATTCGTCCGCATCGACGTCAGTGGGGAAAGTACCCAGAAGGCTGGCAGCATTGCCACGTTGTATGGCAATGCTTAGCCTCTGACCGAGAAAAAGACCAGCCCTCTGGTCACGAGATGTGTCAACCAGGCGTTTTGAAATGTTTTGGAACAATTTAAGTGCACTCGGACCCCACGGACCTAGCGTCTCAACCCCAAACGGCTCAAAGATATAACTACCAGCAAGGTTGTTATACTTGCGCCGCTTGAGGCTTTCTGCAGAGGCAGCAGCCGAACCAGCACAACCCGCCGTTACTGGAAGATGAGAAGGTGCAAGGGTGTCAACGCAGGTTGCGTCCCACACCAAAGACCTTCCCAGCTTCCAGGGCATAATGGACATACCGTCGGGTCTCTTACCATCGTCGCGTGCCAAACCCTTTGGTTCCAGAACAGCTGGCACACCGGCGATGATAAGAGCTCGGCGGATAATGTCGTTAATGCTGGCGTGTCGAGCTATCCGGCCCGCGCTTCTGCTACACGATAGGCCGTGGTGGCCGAGGTGGTCGACCATCTCACCGCATTGACAGCGATGCGGAGAAACACAGGGTGCACCTACACGCAAGCAAGCAGCAAGCCGAAAAGTTGAGTCATTCAACATCGTGCCAATATTGAGTGACGGAAGTGCCTGAAGCCAGAGGCCTGATTCCCACTCACCCACAGCCAATAGGCGAGCTAACTCCGCAGGATTGGTGCTGGTATTAATTAGATTATTATGCACCAACCTGCAAAGCGGCTCGTCCCATTGTCTCTGGGAGGAAGGGTTGACAGGCAAGGCTGTATTGGGACATGTTTCTGTCCAGACGTTCATCGCGTCGGTCAGACACGGCACATCAGGTTCAGCGTCAACACCAGCTAAAATTTTATTTGTTAACGTTCTAGTGCTGTGGACAGAAGAGATGAACGCCGGTAAACTTACACTGGTAATTTTGCGGACGCCTAGACCACCAAAACGAATTGGTAGTGTGGCTTGAAGCCAAACACGATCGTCCATAGAAGCATTCAAAAGTGAAGTTAAGGTGTCACGGATAATTTGATCAATTTGGTCCAGAATATGCGGATGCTTCCACAGAGGGGAAGCACGCAGAAAATACATAAATTTTGGGCCGAAACAACAATAGCGAATTAAAGTAAATGCACAATGTAGATTAATTTTGGAAAGTCTATCGGAAATGTCACAGAAATTTTTAATTTTCTCGTTTATGAAATCAGAGAAACTGTTTTCGAAAATTGGGGAACCCAGGAGAAGAAGAGAGTTTTTATCAACAATTTTTAAATTCGGCGCTACGGTAGAAAAAGTGTTTAAAATTTGTTGACTATCGATAATTTTGTCCGGAAGGTAAATTTCGCATTTAGAAATATTTAATTCTAATCCGATGGATTTAAATTCAGAAATCAAAAGCTGTAAGTCATGGAAAACAGTATCTGCGTCACCTCCTAGGGTTCCATCGTCCAAATACCAAACATTAAATTTAGATTTAAGTTGCCGAATAATAGGGTGAATGGCCAGACTGAAAATGACTGGACCAAGAGGATCACCTTGTTGGCAGCCTACCGCAGAATCCAAAACTTTGTCTTTATACAATAATTTTGAAGGTTGTCTATAGCACTGCCAAATAAAACTGTAAATTTCAGGTAATTCTTTTTTAACTTCAGCCAACAAAGTGTCCCTGTTGATGGAATTGAATGCATTTTTTACATCAACCTTAAGGATGACCTCACTTTCGTTTGCATTCAAGAAAGATGATAGGGCGTGTACGGCAGCCTCACAACCCCCTTTTGAGCCGAAGCCTAGTTGGAGGGGTTGAAAGTGCGACATGAGCGCATCTTTATGATAGCTGCAACACAACTTGGCTGCCATACGCCTGTAAGTACATCCTACGGCAATGGGGCGTATGCCGCCATCTTTCTTGCGTAGGGCACATAAATTGGCCCCGTACAAAATGTCGATAACGGCATCCGTCACATTACCGGAGAGCATTAAATTAACCAGAACCGTTAGCTCCTTCAGAAGAGACTCACCGGCTTCCCCGACGTCTGGCCCCGTCAAATCCTTAAGATGTTGAGGAGTCAGACCATCAAGTCCACCAGCAGAGCCACTGCGGAAGGAGCCAACGGCTGCAGCTACTTGCTGGACAGTTGCGGTGAAAATATGGATATCATGTTCAGGAGGATCGGGAAAAGTGAGGTCAGCCCTAGCAGGCGGGTGTTTACTCTTCAGAGCTTCAAAAGTTTCTGAAGAGTAGGGAGCAACCACGTCACTACTGAATAAAAGCCTGGCGGCTCCACTTATATCACCTTCACCTAATTTGGATTCTACGTAGTCAAAACGAGTTTTTTTAATATTATTAAAGGAGTTAGGAAATTTTGGATCTAAAATGGGGTTCAAAATATTACAATTACTTTTAATTTGTGAGGTTAAGTTTTTTTTAACAGCCAAATTTTTTTTTACGTGTAGAATCCTGTAGGGGAAGGTGAGTAACTGCTCCCAAGCCGAGAAAGAGTTCTCTCGAGTTGCAAGACGAATGCAATTTCCTAAATTAAGAGCAACGGACCGTCTTGCACCACGAGGAACTCTTTTTAAAACGGGTGTTGAATTTTTGAATTTTGCTACCTACATGTTCGTTGCAAAGGACTTTTTTTTTAATAAAATAGGTAGAAACAACAATAGGTCCAGGCGTTTATAGGCATCATTCATGTCAGCCAAAAGAGGTGCACTGCTCTCATTGCGCTTGACCCGTAGCCTTAGGCAGTCATTTGTTTTTTTTTATGGAATTGGCCGGTAAATGAGCAGACGGCTAACCTGGGGGCTTACTCTTGAATCCAAATCCGATCGATCGACATTGGTATTGTGAAATTTCGTACTCTTGAGTCGCAACACTAGCGCCCATTGTTTCCGTATGGCGTGGATATTGAATGAACTAAATGATATTGAGTTTGGCTTTATATTCCGTACTCTGAATGTTATTTTAACAGCTACGATAGGGGTTGTGTAGTTTTGACATTGAATAATTAAGTATTGAGATTTTATAGGATTGAAATTGCATTGACATTCAGATTCAGACAAGAGTAAGCACCCTGGTCCCTGATGATAAGTAAATCATTGTGATGGCTTTGGCTTGTGTACCTTTTTTAATGGAATTTGTATCGCAGGATTATCCGTGTCTACAGCTGTAAATACCTTAGGCATCATCATCATGCGCGGGCCTGCGGACGGCGAGCATGGGTGGCTCCCCGTCCGACCAGAAACAGACCCGAGCGTACGGCGCGTCGCGTTCCGCGCGCGCCTCAAAGAGCCATCAGACCACCACAGATGGGGCCCAATAGGGCCGATGCCGATTCGGAGTCGCGGAGAACCTAACGGGTAACCGGGGCTCCGGCTCGACGTGCAGGAGAAGGAACGGGGTGGTTTTTAGTCAGTAAGAGTCTGACACTCCCTCCCGCCTCACCCAGGCGGGGGCAGTCATTCGATGATTTTCCCCCCTTAAAAAAAATAAAAAAAAAAAAAAAAAAAGGCATCATCATCATCATCAACAGCCTATAAATGCCCACTGCTGAGCAAAGCCTCTTCTCACACGGAGAAGGTTAGAGCATTAATCACCACGCTTGCTCAATGCGGGTTGGCGATTTCAAACTTATAATTAGAAATTATAAGTCCAGGTTTCCTCACGATGTTTTTCCTTCACCGTTTGTCAGTGGTGTCTAAATAATCTTAGAAAGTACATATAACTCGGAAAAAGTCACATTGGTGCTTGCCGTTGGTAGGTTTCGAACCCGCAAACTCATGCATGAGAAGTGGGCGTCTTAAACCTCCGGGCCACCACGACATTTTTACCAGGCATACCAGGGACAAACCCAACTGGGTATACCAGTTTATGCAGCTTATCTTGTTCGTACTTTCTTTGAAATATTTTAGTAATTCCGTTTTCCTCGTCCTTTGTTGAGATTATGAGTGGACCTAGGTTTTACCTTGTTGGGATGAATCAGTTGAAGTTTAAAGTTAACACCTAAATAACGGGTAACTAACCTCTTTGTATGTATGTGTTAGCGAGCTCTTGCCCGCGACTTCGTCCGCGTAGAATATGATTCCTGTTTTCTTATATAGAATCACTATTTTTGTGGATTGTCAGTATGCATATGTGAGCACCATATTAGACTATAAGATTTTTTTTTATTTTAGTAAGTTTTGTCATTAGTATAATCCGTCAAGCGTGTTTTTGCATTGTTCTCACATATGCGTACAGTATTGGAATATGTATCAGAGACATTGTAGAACATACTTTCTTAAAAAAAGTAACGAATGGAGTTTCTTGCTCGTTCTTCTCCATTCGAATCTACATTTTGGAATGAGCACCTAGCTTCACCTAGCTTCACTGACGGACTGACTGACAGAATATTATTTATTTTGTATTTGTTGCCGTTTCAAAAGTACCAAATTATGGTTTAATTGAAATAAATGCTTTGACTTTTTACTATCCCATGGGAGCATTTAGTCGGGGTAAAAAGTATCCTATCACTTAAGTCAACCCATACTCTATCTGTATACCACAATTTCAACACAATCCGTTCAGTAGTTTCAGCGTGATTGACGGACACACATGCAAACCAAGAAACTTTCACATTTATAATACCTACAACAAAATAACATCAACATAACATCACCCTATCCCTAAAGG